AGATAGATAGATAGATAGATAGATAGATAGATAGATAGATAGATAGATAGATAGATAGATAGATAGATAGATAGATAGATAGATAGATAGAGCCATGATTTCTGAAGTTCTTCCAAAGTACTTCTTTAGACATTGTCTATTTTTCCACTCCTTTTCAGTCCAGTCCTCGTACTTGACCATTTTCAGACTTCTGAATCACTGAATCACTGAAAAATATTGAATCATTCTTAATAGATGAACCAGTGTCTACACATCACAGACAACTCAGCAAAGAACCAAGTTTAAATTGCATTTTTAAATACTTTGTTACTAACAACTTGTCATAAAAAAAACCTACTTTGTTCCTATTTCTTCATCTGAATGTAGGAAAAATGCCAAAGAAAACACTGGCACAAAAAGTTCTGCACCAACAAGGTGATTCCCAAAGAGCTATTAGCTCAAAACTCAGCATATCTCTGTACTGAAAAAGTAGCAGCAGTCAGTATCAACAGGTCTAAGGAGTGAAATCAAATGTAAAACCTTTGGTTTAAATCATCGTCAGTATGTATTAGTATGTAACCTGGTTCTCCTGAAAGCCCATTGTTCTGGGTCTTTGTCGGGGGCCACCTACCACTACAATGACTAAAATGAATGCAGGATTCTTGTGCCCAATGTCCTTTGCCTCACATTGGGTAGTCCAATTCCAAATCAGCACTTAAGGGGTTAATCCTCTGAGGTTTAATCCCCTAACGCTGTGCTGTCTTGAAAATTGTTTTCTGAGGTTTTTGGTGATGACTCTAACAAACAAATAAACAAGCAGTTTAAATTTCTTCCAAAAGAAAAGTTTTTTAGTATTTTCTTCCAAAACACAGGGTGGGGGTTAGCATAGGGTACTTGCCATACGAAGAACTCCCATGGTTAAATATTAGATGTCAGTATGTACAGTAATTACTTACCTATAAATAGCCTTGTAATGCTGTTTGTGGACATTGGAAAACATACATAAAAGTAATAACTTTTCTTTCATAAAGACCTTTCTTTCTCCCGACCAACACAGCAACAAACGCTTTAACACTACAAAGAGTCATAAATGTAATTATAGATAACGCAAGCGCATGACTAAAGTGTGGTTTATAAAGTGTGGCTTAGCTCAACACCGGGACATTGTGTGGTTTAAAAATATCATACTTAACTCACCAAGTGAAGTCACATGAAAAACAGTCAGGTAGCCTGTGCAGATTTATATATATGACCTTTATATGTGTTGCTAGAGGTTAAGTGAAGGGTTATAAAGAACATTTGCAGATGAGCCTTACAGAGAACAGATGTGTTTGAGGTATAAATAAATCAGTGTTGCATGGTGATCAATAAGACCAGGCTGTAACAGCTGATTCTAATAACACATTGTTGATTCCTGACTTCAAGCATGACAGACAAAAGCTCTCCTGCACAAGAGTCCGTGTCCGCGCAGTTTCCATAACAACGTGGTGGGCAGCAAATGGCTTTCCTGCTACTATTCCCTCTCCCAGAGGGCTGCAGTGTGTGTGTGTGTGTGTTTGGGCGGGAGGTCATTCCTGCAGGAAGATGGCAAAGTCTGATTTCTGAATGCCAGCAGTGGCTTCTGAAAGGTGAACATGCCTGGG